AGCACTTTCCTTTCAGCACCGTGCCGTCTTGGCACGAACCTTCTCCAGCAAAGGGCTGGGCTCATGTCACGTGACGCCATGACCTGTGGCTACGTTCCTCGCAAGTCCGCGACCGCTTGAGAGAGATTGTTTTGGGAGTGGAGTGCAGTTCGTTTGGTGCTTCATTGTGGTTGCTACCATCAAATTGGTAGCGGAGCCTACGGGCTCGAGCTCCATACGCTACCTGCGCCACTTCGAGATCGCCTTGCTCGATTGCCAGATCGATGGCTACATCATCGACGAGCGTTACAGAGTCTTCCAAAGACAATTGGGTTCCGCAGTTCAGCAACCGACCTGCTGAATACCGTGAATGACGAGCTCGGATCCACCTGTATCAAAAGAAGATGGTGATTCAGAAGAAGCCGCTTGAAGGGATCATCAACATCATCACCAACCTCACCGGAGTTGCTTGGAAGCAGATCGAGCCGATCGCAGAGTCCGTCTCCGACGACAAGGACAAAGGTTTCGAGCGCATCATTGAGACGCTCGATCGCACGTTCAAGTACGATGAACGTGTAGAGCAGCCAAGGGTCTTCGAGAAGTTCTTCTACTCCCTGAGCCGACGAGGAGAACAAATTTTGATGTCATACTGCACGGAACACCGTGTGTGTTTGCGAGAAGTGGAGAAACACGGCATTCGCTTGCCGAAAGAGGTTGCCGGCTGGCTCCTTCTTCGACGCAGTGGCCTGTCGCAGGAACAAAAGCAGCTCGTGCAGTCACAATGTGGCCCCACCTTGGAGGAAGACAAAGTTGAGCAGGCCATGTACTACCTGTACGGCCAAGACTACCGCGGACGTGTTGGCTACGCTCACCTTCAACGACCAACTGGCCATGGTAAGGGCAATAACCGCTGGAAGAAACCTCAAACGGCATACACTGCCTATGACTACCAGGAGAACTATGACGACACCCTTGAAGAGCTATAGGATGCAGCTGACTATGAACTCGAGCTGCAAGATGATGATGAAGAATATGAGGGTGCCTACTATGAGGAAGAGGGCAATGATGATGAACAAGCCTTCACCAACCAGGAGGATGACCTTCCTGACATGGACGACCCGGAGTGGGAAGAGTGCTACGCCACCTACCTGGACGCCAGACGGCGTTTTACAGAGTTGAAAACCAATCGTGGCTTCTACCCGGTCGTCGCCCTCACGGACACCAATGCAGCCCACGGCACCGGCCCCCAGAGACCCTATCCACCAAAGTCCAAAGGAAAGGGTTCCAAATCCAAGACAAAATCCCCTCCACCACAAAAAGGGGACGCCAAGAGCAGAGGCAAGGCAGCCACTGCCACGATGAGCTCACCAAAGGCAGGAACATGCCTACGTTGTGGACAGCCTGGACATTATGCAGCACAATGCCCTCAGACTGCAAAACGCAGCCCAACATCCTCGACCACCAGCTCTTCGAAGAAGACCAAGAGTGAGACCGCCATAATGATGTCCATCGAAATGAAGGACCTCAATTCACAGCCAACTGGCTTGTTTGGCACCTTGGATGGAGGAACAAATTGCATGAAGCTTGGACATGACACACTCATGCATTACATTGAGCACTATCAGAAGCTTGGCTACCAGACCGAACACTATCTCTTTCAGCCGACCTCAAAGACCCTGCAGTTCGGCGGAGATCGAACCTTGGAAGCTCAATGGACAATTCATCTGCCCATATGCGTTGAAGGTAATTATGGACGGGTGCAGACCTATATGATCCCGGGCGTCACGCCCTTGCTGATCGGTCGGCCTATCCTCAAGGCCTTGAAGATCCATTTGAATTGCATCGATGACACCGTCAAGGTCGCAGATGGTGAGTGGAAGTCCATCGTCATGGGCCCTCGAAAGGAACACCTCCTCAGGTTAGACGATGATCTCCCTTCCGAGAAGCTAGCAGGTCCCTACGATTTCGACTATGTCCTGGAGGAGACCTACAACACATGGACACAGCGACAAGACAACACTCCGACAGCACCTGAGCCATACAACCTTTGGCACTACATCGAACTCACAGGCCTGGCATCACCAGACCTCCAACAGGAGGAAATTTTGCACGGCAATGAACAGGCAGACCAACAGGAGACAACAAGCGACAGCAATGAGACAACAGACCCTGCGACATGGATGATGATGACACAACACACCGGCAAGCACTGACCGACAAACTGGTCCGCACTTTGAGGCTACATCAACAGCAACAAGCCCTTCATAGAAAGGCAGTCACCGATGAAATTCTGGCTGCACATAATTCCAGACAGATGCAATTCTGGGAGATCTACTCCGGCAACGCCAATTTGGCAACAACCATGGCCAACAAACAACGCCAACAGAACCGCATCTCATTCTTTGAACACCCCAGGTATGCGCAGTCCTGGGACACTCACACACTCCAACAATTTGAAGGCCATGACGCCCACACCGACCAATGCCAATATGGTGCCACCAGGCTTGATCACGATGGCATTGAACAGCACATCCGCAAGCCAACAAGGCTGAGGATCACACCAGACCCTGGCAGACCGCTTTGAACGACTATGCCATGAAGAACCCCATCACCTTCCCATCGAAGGAAGCTCACCGAACATTGGCAGTCGAGCAGCAGCAGCTGGATGCTACCACCCTCAAATGTGCGAACAATGGGCCCACATACTGCACGACTTCATGCAAGACGACAACTGGCCTGACGCAAACATTGAAGACACACAAGCAGCCGCAGAACAAGAACCAGAAGCAGCAGACCAGAACAACAGACAGCTGCTACCCTTCATTGAGCCCGATGACGACCATATCGAGAATAACAAAGGCATCCTAACAAGACTGCAAGAGACACGACTGTCAGCAGCTCGACGCACCGTCCAGCGATTGCACCGGAATCTTAGACATCCCACCAACTTGGAGTTAGCCAGAGTCCTGACTTCGCTCTGGCGTGCTCCCTTCTACTGTTGGCAATGGCGGTCATATTGTGCTGGTTTACGAGGAGCGTAAATGCACCAACGAACCGAAGCCCAGTGCCGGGCACAAGCCTTATAGTTCTTGCCTCTAGTTGCCGAAGGCTGCGCTGGGGGTTGGGGGCCCACGGCCATAGCTGTCTTCCGGCAATTGGGGAGCTTCCTCGCTGCTCGAACGGGTAATTCCACCAGCACGTTAACTGAGCAATTGTTGCAAGGTTTAAACATCACCTTGCAACGGGAAAATGCCAGAGCAGTCGTCTGCCGCCTACCCGACGAATCTGCTTCCTTCAATGCTTTGTCCGAGCCATGACACTAGTCACTTTGTGAACGCTTGCTTTCCGGAGAGAGCCTCTTTTTATATTTTGCGGGATTGTTTCTAGCCTTGCCCTGGCTTGCGCCTATTAAGACAACCAACTGGTCCTTAGCGGCTCAGATTCTTCATTAATGTTTTCACTTCTTCTGGCTCCGCGCAATGCGAGTTCCGAGGTATTGCACAAAATACGAGTCCTTTTTTTTTTCCTGTCGCTTTGGCGTGGCGGACTTTAGATGGAAAAACCCGGTCCTTTCGCCAATTTACCGTTTTTTCCACCAATTCCATTTAATTTTTAGCATCCATTTGCGGTACCCATACATCAGACCATATCCAAAGAAAATACAAATGGTCTTCCGAAATAGATGATTTTTGCCATTATATAAGCCAAACCATAGCACACCCGAATATATTTTGCAATTAAATATTTTGCAAGGAATTTATTCCGGAATCTAAAGATTCGACATGTCATTTTGCCAACAAAAACACGAAAAGATAAAAGAATTCAAAGATAAAATCAAATATAGATTCCAAGTGTATTCCTTGTTTATAATATTTTAGAGGCCCAAATTAAAATCATTATATCATCGGTGGTGCGTGGCCAAGCCTATGGAATGCTAATAACAAATGGTAAAAAGACAATAATCCATAAAACAAATACAAATAATCAGGCCTAGAATCAGAATTATTCATAAACACCCTATTAAATAACACATAATATTCGGCAAAGAAATTCTACTAATCTGGTTAATATTTTATCCTTTTACCTATTTCAAGAAAATATCATCAATATCCATATCATTGTTAGATATCGAAATCTAAAGAAATACGGCCTGGGTTAATCTTCATTTATCCATTTAGATATTAATGTTTTATTCACTATTTATAAGAAATGCAATTACGGTGTTCTTATACCTTTTCGTCGGACGGACGATAAATAAAAAATTCTTTATCGATTGATGGCTAAGAAAGAAATTCTACATAGATTGGTAGTTGCTAAAGAATTTCAAGAATTTCTCCATAGATGGATGGTAGATAGAGAATTAATTCGCCATCAAGGGTCAATCGATTTAGAATTCTCTGTCGTCGATGGAGAATTCTCCATCCATTACCTGTCCATATCAATGCCCAATCTCTACCACCAGTCCGTGGAAAAACAAAACACATCAACCGCCGGTCGTTGGAGAAAATTCTTCAGTGGCCAGTCGATGGAGAATTTTTATCCAACACCAATCGACGGAGAATTCTCCATCTGGGACCAGTCGGGGGAGAAGTTCTCCATGCACCAGTCGATGGAGAATTTGCCATCTACCACCAGTTGATGGAGATTTCTCCATTGTCGATGGGGAACTCTCCACTTTCAGTTGTTCAATTCTTGCACCATGTTTACATGCTTTTGCGACTTCACGCCGTGGAACTTGGAAGCCTCCTCTGCTCATGGAGGTGTTTTCATGGGAGACCAGGATTGAAACCAAGGCAGGATTGGGGATTTCCAACGCAGGAAGCACGACCACAACTGAGGCGCATTATACAAGTACCCTTCAACGTCAGCACCAAAACCCGGTGAGAAAAGGTGATACAGCACGTTCATTTGCAAGTGAACTTGATGAACCTCCCACAAACTTTCCGCACGCTCATGAATATTAGATCCTCCTGAAACATAGGCTCGTGAAAGCTAATAGATATATATGTATATATGTATAATTTTTCTTTATATGTTGTTCCAAATACTACAGAGTGAATGCATCAGAATTCCGCCAGCCTTGGAATCCCATCCTTTCGATGGATGGTCGAGAATCCCAATGAACCCACAAAATATGACAAAGTCATCCCTTTTTGCCTTTGCCAGCAACATGAGAGCCACATGCAAACACGACCCATGCCTTCAGGATGGTTGGGTGCCTTCCATGGTAGCAATGCTTAGGGGTTTTGTGGGTTGATACGTTGTGCACAAGTTGAGCACGAGGCCACACTGGCGTTCAATGATTCCATCAGCTCTGACATCGGCAAGGAGACCTCTCAAGCGGGAAGGAAGCGTGTGATGTTGTTTCGGACAAAGGGATTTGGAGGGAATCACCTATCAAGGTCCAATTTTGATCAATTTTGATCCAAAATTTCCAAAATGGTTTTGTCAAAGTACATTTGATCCATTTTGTGTATATTTTAACAATGCCTATGATCATTCAGACACCGCCCTGTGTCCGTTTGCCGACACCATCGACCGGACGAACGCCCAGCGAACTCGCGGCGGTTCGCGATATGAACTTGCGCGCCAAAGGACGGTGAAGGATGGAGTGCAAGTGCCCAGCATACTTGTGTAATGACTTGGGTCTATCCTATTACCTGCAATAGTGGATGATGATGGTTCAGTTGCAGGCCTTGTTCAAAAATAGCGATAATTGTTTACTGACTGTTTAAGTCACAAGTCATAAACATTCTATGGTGTTTAAGTCATAAGGCTATAAAGAGGATAATTCACGTGGCTCACATGTCATGTTGCACATGAGTCCTCTCCTTGTGGATGTGTCGTGTTCAATGGTGAATTGTGACAGATTGTGACTGCCACATCCTTGGCCTGCAAGCAGTGTTGCAGGAGTTCTTGTTGCACTCCTTCTGCTTCATTGCCTGCAAATTGCTCAGTTACAGCACAGTGAGATACTTTAGCAGCCACTTTTCTGCAAGTCTCCAAGCCAGTGACCTGCAGCCTTGCCTCCTCAACACTCTTCCTGGCCACGTACACCCCATCGAACCCACCCCTTCGACTTAGTACCGAGAACCCCTACCGAGCAGGGCCTCCAAACCAACCTCCGAACCAACCACCGATCTCAGACCCACCAGACCTATGATGAGGCAGAAGCCCTGGTGCTCGGACAAGCTGGGCCTTGGAAAACCAGAGTCGCTTCTGAGCTTCGTTGGAGCGTGTGGTTTGGTGGGAGTGTTAGTTTGGTGGGTCGGAGCGTGGGTACTTCGGGTGCATGGAGCGAGGATGACGGGCTGGGCTGAGTAGCTGAGCGCAGATTTTGCCAGAAAACTCTCCGAAAACTCCCAAACTTGCCAAAAACTCCAAGATGCTGAGCTTGTCTTTGGAATCTAAGGGGTCCTTCTGCGGAGGACGGTTTTGGTGCATCTGCACAGTCTGCACAAAGTCCGCCATCCGTGTTGGACTTCTGCGGCATGCAATGGGACTTCAAGGCTTCGTGCATGGACAGCTTTTTGGCTTCTTCGGTCACCAGCCACGCTCTCAACAGGACTACAAGCTCGCCATGAATGCGGTGAATTCATTACCAAACCACATCTCTCTCCATTAAGGAGACGCCACGTCGCCACGTGCCACTCCTCCACCGCGTATCGGCCAAGAAACAGTTCTGACACAGCTTGACCATGTAGACTGCCGGCACAAAGTAGAAGCTTATGCCTGAGTAGGTCTGTGGGTGGAGGTCCAACACAAGCGAACAGCAAGTCTGAGATATTTGCCTACATTGGGAGTGGTTGGGAGATGTTTAAGGGTCAATGGAGATGTTTAAGGGCCAATGGAGATGTTTAAGGGCCAATGGAGATGTTTAAGGGTCAATGGAGATGTTTAAGGGTCAATGGAGATGTTTAAGGGTCAATGTAGTTAAATATTCCATTGGATTCTTGGATCCTGTCGTGTTTTTGGGCGCGCCATGGGGATCGAAGGCAGCATCTCGTGACTTCGAATGCCGAAGCGGAGAAGCGGAGAAGTGGCGAAGCGGATTGTCCTGCGAAGCCTCCTCGGATTTTCCCCAATCTCTTGTGCTGCAATCGTTCCAAGTTAACAAAGAAAACACATCGGAGTCTGAGCTGCATGCAAAACGTTCCGTCAATCATGGGTCGTATCAACATGCTGATGTGATCTAATGTGGGATCTTTCTTTACGTGAGACCTAACGCCTGGTCCTATCAACATGTGCACTCCCAAAACCTAACATAGACCCTGACGTCCTGGCACCCTGGAAGATTGTTTTCCTCTACCAGCCAGTGGGTTTTCAAGGTCTTAGTCTTCCAGGGTGTATCCTGGTTGGGACCTTGCTCATCTGGGACTTGCACCTTTCGGCAAGCTCCTTGATCTCGGAGTAACTGGCATAGCAGTAGGGCAAGGTCCAAGCCACCGCCTACGGCAAGACGCAGCTACGGGAGGGGCTGGGGACCTTCTTGAAGTCCAAGCTACCCTGCTATGAACGATAATCCTCCAAACAGCATCAAACAGCCTGCATGTTATACTATCAAATCATGTTTAGTTATGTTGGTTCCGACCTTTCCAAGTCCAAGTCCTACCTTCTTCACTCCTCAAATGGACTGAATCAGTTCAACAGTTGCAAGGCCCGGGCTCAACAGGATGACATGTACCGGCCCTTCCGGTTTCATCGCCACGACCGCCGCGCCGTCGAGACATAGAACCTCTGGTTTCTGTCAAGGTCGATCCATCACTGGTTAACACCTGGCTCTTGGCTTCTCAGTGAGGGTGGACCCATCTTCACCGGCATCCAGCCAAAAAAGCCACCCAACACATGGCCCCAAAAACGCGCGACGCGGAACGAACGCGGTTCCATGCGGTGCTGAGAACGCATCCGCGGAACGGTTCGCCAGCCGAACGTGGCGATGAGAGGATTGGGCACTGCCTGTGATGCGTCGAGCACCTTGTAGGAAAAGGGATCCACACCTGAGGTCGGCGCACGAGTTTTTACGGTTCATGTGGAGGCCAAGGGGACACGATCCTGGGCCGATGGTGGACAGGGACCTGCTGTTGGAGAAAACGATCCAGGTTTTGTTGGTGATGAAGTGGACCAATTCCGAACCTAGTGGCCTCATCAAAGAAAGAGGATGCCCCCGAACTTGGAATTGGCCCCAAGAAGGGAAGGGCAGTAGTTGGAACTGGAGGAGAGTTCTTGTTTAAGGTTTCTTTCGTTCGTCTTCTTTCAGAAGCCACAGCCTGTGAAAGGCCTCAAGTTTTCAAAAGCCCAAAAGCAGAAGCCAGCTCAGAAGCCAGCTCCAGCCTTTCCAGCCTGGAGCCTGCCACAAAAGATCCTATAGAAGCCTAAAAGCCCAAGTGCGGCTGAATCTGAGAATCGACCCTTCTTCAGAGGCCCCGCGCATTCCGGGTGCAACATCACCCCATCGAACTTCAAGGCCACGGCACTGGTCAAGAGCCGCCCTGGCGAAGACGCGACGCGACGCGACACAGACATGACTCCAGCACCTGCGACTGTGTGGGTGACGGTAGAGTGGGATCTACATGGTGGGATTCTTTTTGGAGAAAACCATCCAACCCAAGCATGGCTACTGAAGTCTCTGGGCCGGTCCATCCCTGGGACTCTGTGGGTATGCTGGGGCTCTTTTTGGGGAACAAATAATCCAGTACTCAAGTCTCTGGGTACTTAAGTCTCTGATTTCAGTCCATCTTGGTAATGTTGAAGATATTGCACCCGGGCCCCAGAAAAGGATGCGCATCAGCGTGCACTGTCACATGGGCACCTTGAAAAGTACTACAGTCGGCCTCATTCACCATGTCGACTTTTTGAATGTGGTTCAGTTTAGTTGGTGGACACTGACAATGGCAACAGGCCCCCAACTACATTAAACAGGAGTGGAATCCCCAACTGCAGAATCTCTTTGGTCTTTGATCGAATCTACCCGGATTCTGACGTGGGAAGCTCATCCAATCGCTGCCCAAAGGAAGTCATCTGGCGTGTTTTCGGTCACTCTTCATGGATATCTCGAGATGTTCAGAGAGGCTGGATATGGCACCTGGCCAGTCTCCATGATCGGGTTCGCATGTGGCTCGAAGAGCCGTGCCCATATCGGTCCGTTACACACGGACGGACCCACGGTGCTATCGGTCCGGGTCCCAAGCGAAACGGTCGCGCCGAGTGTCGCGCGAGTCGCGTCGAAAGACGTGTCGGTGGGACCCATGTTCTCGGGGTGTTTGATCCGGTCGATCATCAACAACCGTCGAGGTGCGGGTGCAAACCTCAGCAGTCCGCGGCTCTGGACGAGCGATCGCGTCACGCGTCACTATAGTGATTGGAATGTTGGGGAATAAGGCTTAAGGGTTTGAAGTACCTCGAACCTTTTTGTGACTTCTATTTTGGACCACCAAGCACCCATGATATGTGGTCCAGTCCTTTCCTATCAAAACAGGGATCCTGTCTGGGTTCCGGGAAATTCTAATGTTGAGATCTATAGACTCTCCGGACATTGGAGCAACTCACCCCAGACCCGAACAATTGAAGAGCTACATGATCATGGATAAGTCACAAGTCCTCTTGCTCATGGTTTGGGCACTGATCCTCCGCCTATGAGCTCCAACATCATGTGAAGCAATCCCAAAGCATCCAGGACCCACCTTCCTTCTTGACCCATGGCCACCTCCCATCTTAACCCAGATGCTCCTTGACAGGGGGAGGTTGCTCAGCAGTGCCTGTCGGGGTTGACATGAAGAGGGATGACGGCCAGTGGTCCAAAACTGACGGTCCTCATGATTCCGATCTGTTCTCAACAAAAAGCATCTGTCCAAGACCCCTCAAGAAAAGCAGTTTTGTTTGGACCTGGTACGGGGTCATTCTATCCCCTGGTATGGATATGTATGCGATTTCTGGTGTATGCTGTCCGGATGATTCTGGATGCACCCCCATGGTTCCCCAAAGATCTGGTTCATTCACTGGGTTCTCTGGCTTCGTTTGTGCTTATCTACAGTAAGCTGGTTCTGGTCCAGCAAGTTTCCCATCACATCCCTTCTGCCATCGCTTCTGCCATCCATCGTGTCTTTGTTCCATCCATCGCCCCGCCGCGCCTATGACGAAGTCCTGGTCCTCGAATCGCTTGGCATGCTCCGCCTTGCATCCGAAGAGGACATGCTGCCTACGGGGGCCGCCCCCGGAGAGGAGGAGTCTAGACTGGAGACACATCCGGAGCGAACGAGAAAGTCATGCCGTGTCACTCCCCAGTGCATCCGATGAAGTGAATGGGAATGGGAGATGAACAAAGACTATACAACTATATTTACACTCTAGATTACTCATGATGACTCTAGTACTGTATATGCAAATCTTCAGTTTGATTCTGAGGGGATGTACATGCAGTGTACGAAGCTTCGAGGAAAAAAGATGAAAGCAAAAACAGATTTGGAGCACTGAGAAAGGCGCAAGACGTTCTTCTGCACCCGAACCACCTTTTCCTGAGCTGTGGAACTCCAATTTACACAACAAAATAGCTGAGAAAAAGACCGTCTTGTCTGGCGGGTCTAGCTGTTCTTCTCAAAAGCTAGTTTAAGGAAAACTGGTTGAACTCTGAAATCTCTCTTGATGCTTTCGCATGCTTTCGCCAATCTAGACATGTTGGACGCCCATGTTTTGAACATCAGACCATTCGAGACAGGAGCGGTCGAGACCGGTCTGTGGAGAAAACACGGTGTGTGGGACCGGATGCTTTCTGTCAGGTCGTTCAGCCGTAAGCGACTGGAATGAGATAGACTAGACTCTGGTGAGCCTGGTGACCTTGAAACACCAAGCATGACCCATGGACCCCATGGTCTGGTCTTTCATGGTCCTTTCACTGGTCCTTTCCTTTCTTATCCCAGTGCATCCCAGTTACCACGTCTATAAGGAACCAGGGATTCGTTTGGTCTATGGTTTTAGTCATGCCCAGCGACATCGTGGGAAGTGCCTGGATGCTCCTTTCCTATCACAAGAGGGGGTCCAGACTCTGGGGCGGGCTTCTCAAGGAGATGTGTCCCTCTCCAGTCCGGATGCTCTGGAGGCACTTTCGCACTTTCAATCGGACCAAGATGCTGCGGACATGCCCCCCACCCACCCGGGTGGTCAGCTATACAGGAGCAAAAAGGACATCCCTGAGACAGTGGAATGCAGAAAGGACTCCAAATCCTCGGTCCGTGGCCTCTTTGCACTCCTCCCGGCAGGACCTGGTGAGGACCTGGTGAGAACCTTTCTCGATCTTTCTCGCCACCAACCCCAAAACACACCGAGGCAGGGGTATGTGGGGCATGTCACACCACCAAGGGCACGACCGACGCCTGGTGTCGTCTACATGGCGAGCTTTCGCTACAGGGCGGAATTCACCAGCGAGCCTACCAAGTTTCGATCGGAACCCCAAATCAGCGTGATAGACGTCTATACCTGAAGGCTTAACTGCGAGGTTTTGCCACCTCCGTGTGGGTCGCGTAACTAGCCACTCCCGTCTCGGTCCCAGTGGCGGCGTGATAAGACCCAAAGGTCTCCCGTGGCTCGAAGGTGAAGACCTCACCGAGGCGTCCACCGGTCATCCAGGCGCAGGAGACGATATAAACCAGGTGACCAGGTGGTCGAATCAAGCACACGGACTCTTGTTTCAGACTAGGAACCTAGTTGAATGAAGCAAAGCAATTAGTAAAACCTGCCTGTAAACGGAGACTGGGTTAGACTGGACCTATGCAGTCCAAAGAGATGGCATCAGCTGAGGTGGTGGATATGCGGGAAACAAAACTCGACCCAAAGAAAAAAGAGACAAACCATCTGTGGGAGTGGAATATTTACAAATACGTGTTTAATCGTTTTTACATGTTTTTACCATTTAGGACCACGATGTCAAGTAACTCGTCCCTAGTCCATACATGGATGGTCTGGGAAACTCAAATCACTCAGTGTCTTCCTAAGCCTACCATCCAGTCCGGATCCCTGAAAAAAACACGACTGTGGCTCAAAAGAGGAATACAAATTTAACAAAGGGATCGACTACAGTACATCATCTACACCATCTACACCTCCAAAACAGCACACCTTACTTTCTTGGAAGTCACACTCATTAAAGAGGAACAGTGCCTCAAAACACCTCCAAATCCGCTGGACTGCACCTGCATCATCTTGCCACCGCTTTGATAGCTCAGCCGCACCTATTGCCACGTCCACACATCCTCCATTCACTCGACTGCCTCCGATCGGTGTCGCCGCTCGGCCTCTTTGAACTTGACGACTTGGCCGATGGACTGCACCAGCTGCCGCCCACGAACCTGTGGGCCAGACATGCGAGCCGTTTTTTTGGTATGGCAAATACGGGAGGTTCGCAGCCGTGACCGAAAGATTTTGTATAAGGGTAAAGAAGATCCCCTTCGGAATTACGCGGGGTCATCGGAGATGTAATCAAGATCAACCAAGGCAATCAATGTTTATATGCATATGGGAAACTGCAGACTCAGCAGCATTGGAACCATATTCTCACCCCAACTCCTGTCGCTGCCATCCAAGTGACCAAGCAAAGCCCTTTTTGGCTTCGGGCTCTCCTGCGCCCCACGCGCAACCGGAAGAGTTCCTTTACGGCGCGATTGCGGATGGAGAGGATGTCGTAGAAGCCAGTCATCCAAGTGGCTGCACGCCCAGCACCTCGCGCCCAGCTCTTCCTGCCAGTGAGGTGGAGTGGGAAAAGAACACACACCGGATACTGTAATTACAGCCTAAGAGCGCGATCTCCAAGAGCGAACCAATGGAACATCCGAGGTCAGGTGGAATGGGCACAAAAACACCTTGATATCACAATGTCGGGGTACTCCGAAGATGAACCAAGGGTGAATTCAAGCCCTGTTAGGCAGCATAGGAGACAGAATTAGAAGTCTTTCTGGTGCCCAAGTGGCTTTTCCAATTATCAGTTCGATTGTGCTTCTTCTTACGGTTTCAATGACTGTTCAATCTCGTAGAAGGTCAAAAAACAATGTTCACCACGCAACACTGTTGATCCACGTAACGTATAGTTTTATATAACATATTATATAATATAGACAAAGCCATAGAACACCCCACACGGGGATTCTTGTCTTTGGGCTGCGGTGTTGTTTGAACAGCGTCGGGAGATGTAGCTATAGGGACTCCAATCACAATCCATATGAGGGACTGGAAAAAAAGGATGAACACACTTTACATCTATTACCAGATCGATTGGGGTGAATTCTTTTTCGGAGCCTTATTCCGGTCCGCTGCGCCGGTCAGCTCGCCATCGCCATTTCGCTCACGTGTGCAGACTGAACACGGTCGGTTCGGTTGTTGTTTTGACACGTGAAGGGTCAGCTGAAGTAGACGAAGTCCGGACAGGCCACTTGTTTGGGGAAGTCGATAAAAACCGTTACATGATGGGATGACTAACAACTGTTCCTAACAATTCTGACATGTAATACTAGGTAGGTCGATGAAGCAAAAAGGAGAGTCATATTGTTTCCTGCATTCAGCCTATAGTGTGAATCTTGCCCACCATGACTTGGATTTCTATGTCACAAGTCTGTAACTTGAGATTCTCAGTGAAGCAGGCGAAGCTCCTTGAATGCTTTCCACTTCTCTTCGATGCCGTATCGGGTAGAACTTCATCTCCCCACACATCTCAACATCCCATGTGGTCCCTCACTTTATCACTTATAAGTTATAAGATCTTATAAGATCTTATAAGCCTCCACCATCAGCTTGAAGAGACACCTCTCCACAGCTTTTCACGGCTCAGCCGCGCTAGCCACGGCATACCGCGGCGGTCGGTCCGGTGTTTCGCCACCGGTGACGGACGGACGCCCGTGGCGACGTAGCAGGGACATCCCCGGGGTTCGCGAACTGGGAGGGGGTTTTGAAGTGAAGACCTATGACAAAAACCGTGTCTTTTTTGGACTAAACACTGTTTAAATTAGATGCATTCATGCCGCTATGTTCGTGGTCATTCGTGGACATAGACTGCGTATTACACCAGTCTCTTGTGATCACATTCACGCGTGCACGTTTTGTACATCTCCATCTTTGTGTGAATATCTACCCTAGAGTACCCCACAAAGTGAAAGGGCTGTTAGGGGCGTGACATGGACGAGTCCGCAAGTTGGTGTGTTGGACTGAAAACTTGTTTTTTGGGTCTACCACGCGCGTTTTGGGATCCTATAGTGGACCTATAATGGACTGCCAACCAAAGACGACCTTTGTGGATTTCAAAGGAAGGAGGTCTCACTTCAAGGCTTCGTCGAATGTGGTCTTCCAGCGAGTCTCTGGCAACTGATGTAACCCCACCAAGAGTGGAAAGCTGTTCTTTACACACATCAATCATTACCTCACAAGAAGTTGTGTTGCTGAAGATACCTGGTTTTGGTGAGTCAACTCCCAACTTCTTGTCCATTCCCAATCATCGGCTCCTATACTTAGACATTGGAAGAACATGGAAGAACTATGAACGACTCACATCATCTTCATTCATCCTGGGCTTCTGTTGAAGCACCGTGAACTACCGACCGTACCTCTCCCACGGTCTGGCGACATTCCGAGGTGTCTCACGTCGCGGAGGAAGTGTTGGGAACCACCAGAGCTCCTGTAAGTAACCACCGAAATCACCTGAACTTCCTTCCTTTGTGTCGAGGATCTTTGAAGATATCATCCTTTTAGACATACCTAAAATATCATCAAAGATCCTCAACTTCCCGAAGTCACACTGTAAACCAATTCCAACACTGCTTCTCCCTTCTATCCGTCTGATTCGCCCCTTTTTTTATAGCCTCGAACGCCAGCGATCGGGTGGCACTCCCACAACTGGCCACGAAGAAGTCAGTGGCGCCTGGCTCGGCCAGGCGGGTGGCCCCCGCAACTCATTGGTTTTACTTGATGTGTCTGTATAGTTGTATGTACAACATGTGACATGTGCATATATCATAACTATACTAGATACTACTACTTAGTGTATACAGCACTGTGATGCACTGTGTACAAACATCATAAGTCACGGACCATGAATCATGTGTAATGATGTGTAATGTCATTGGGTAGCTCCTCACTAGTGAGGTCTATTCTTATGATTCACTTTCACTCTTCCAACAAGCTCCTCCATCGCTCCAGGCCTGAAGCATCGTTGGAGCGATGGAGCCTCACCGGGAAGTCGTCCCATTGGAAGCAACGCGGTGTTTTCGATGCCGAAGTGGAACACGTGTGTTTTATTGTTTTCTACAAGAGTAGACGTTGCTTGCGGAAGTTCTGCCATGATCTCAATGACTCGCCGAAAGCCATCCATGCAGAACGGATATGCTGCCATCCTATGAGAAGATATGAAAAGAAATGAGAAGAACATCCACATGATTCTGAGCAAGTATCACTCAAAACAATTTCTCAGCTCCGGCGCAAGAGGCTTCTTAGGAGCTCCCACAAGAGGGAACCAATTTCAAACTGAAGGGCTTGGCGCCAAGATGGATGTATGGAATGATTACAAAACATCTAGAGTCATTTCCAACAAATCCATGTGAGATCATGTGAGCAATTTTATGGATTTTGTTGAAAGTAACTGCATGAAAACATAAACTAGCTAGTGCCCTAGTCCCCCTAGTCGATGGACGTTGGTCCACTGCACAATATATAGCCTACATTTAGTGGTTTTGGGTGGTGAATGGATCGTTAGGGCATGGGCGGCATGGCTTCCGCTCGTTCCTTCATACACACACACACCGGGCACGTGTGTGCCCGTGCTCGAGCAACATCCGCTCGGCTCGTACTCCACACACAATGGCTCCTCCCTTGCATGTGGGAGTGTTAGCCTAGAATCGTTCAATTTTCCCCAAAAGAAATTCACTGTGACTCACTAACATGGAAGTGCAGTTCACCCCCCTTCCACAGCGTCGGACGGACGGCCACGGCGTCGGCCTCACTTCCTCCGGTCTCGGCTTCGGGAGCGTTCGCGCTTGCGCTCCTGGGGGGGTGGCGATGTGGCGGATGTAGAAGGCGGTGTGGCGGACCCTGGTAGGACCCTGGGAACTTCTTCTGTGTTGAACCAATACTCCATGAACGTATTAGTTATATACTTAGTAACTGTTGTCAGTTCACACCGAGTGATACTAAGTTACTTTACAGTTCTTCTACTCCAATCATCATCAACACCAACTGTTTGTTGGACACCAGATGACATACAGTAGTACCAAACGACAACTCATAGACCCAGATATCACCCGCCTATAGACCTATATGACCTACAGCTATGGAAAGATGACGCTTGTCATGGCGGGACTTAGTGGGTTTCAGCATCACTGCGGTTGCCCACGGGTGGTGTGATTGCTTCAGTGCAGGCAGCTTTCTTTGTGGAGCCTTTCCCGGAACAAGCGCCGACAAAATGTCCAGCAGAAGCAAATTGGCGGCTCCTTCTCTTTCTCCTTCTTTTTGTCCTTGTCTCTATCCTTGTCCTTCTCCCTCTCCTTGTCCTTGTCCTTCTCCCTCTCCTTATCCTTCTCCTTCTCCTTTTCTCGCTCCTTTTCCTTGGCTTTCTTCTCCTTCTTGTCGTCCTCCTCCTAGCAGACGCAACAATTGACAGCAAGGTCCAATATAACCCGGGGGGCGGGGCAAACCCACACAGTCATCCATCACCGGGCCTTAGCTCAATCGGTCTTATGAGAGCCTGGTTGATCGACAAAACACCCAACAGTGATGTCCTCTTGCAAATCAAACAGGGTCGATTTAGTAACTTATGCCTTGTTCCCTTGGAGGTATCTCTGCTATTCATCAAGCAGTAATAAAGCCATCTATGGACCCAACATGTCGCCTCCTGTTGACCTGACCTTATCCAACGACACCGCTGTCCTTGTCCTTTTCGCGGTCCTGGCACAAGAACACGCACCAAGAGGTCCTTCTGATGGGGTGGCTAAATTAAATCATGAACATCCCAAATGCCAAGAGCAGTGATAACAATGATGCTTTACTTCTCCCACCCAAAGGGCTTGGGTGGGTGAGTAAGGCCCAAGTCGATAAAAATTGATACAAGTATGTCATTCAATAACTGCCGAAGCTTTCCCAGGTCCTTGTCTTTGTCTTTCTTCTTGTCTTTCTCCTCCTTCTCTTTTTCCTTCAGCTTCTCGGTCGTCTCTGCAAGCCTCCTGCTTTTTGGCTGCATTGCAGGAACGGAGCAAAACAAGGAGAGACCATTATTTTGATGGAGTCAAAGCCAGTCCAGTACAAGGTATGTCAAAACCACATATAAATACGTATATAATTACGTAGAATATTAAAATATCTAGAAAAACACTTAAAATAAATCCAGCCCAATACGTCTGTTTGTTCCTTTTCTGCTTGCTGTTCTGCCGCCCATTCACTGCAAGTGATCTTATTTTGCTCGGTTGCTCCTCTGCTTCTTCTTGGCAGGCTTGCCTTGCACGGTTGGTGAGCTGTCTGTCCAGAGCTGTTTTTATGAGTTAGGCTGTACTGGTAGGGAAAAATACTTCACCCATGCAAAGAAACACCCTCAGCTCCGTGAGGTTCCCCATTATGGGTGTGTATCTTAATGGGGAGACCTCTCAGTTCGACCCAGAAGAAGGAAAAAAGACCCGTCGACCCAATAGACCCAGCGGTCTCCCTATTCAAATACACCCAAAAAGAAACAAAAAGGCTAGGTACTACTTACTGATAAGTAACCACACACCCAAACAAACAGAATTAACATACCAACTTCTCACATGAAAAAAACGAAACAAGACCAGGTCTGACCAACCATTTTCTCTTCTTTGGACGGTCTTCGAACGTTCGCGTCACGGGTTGATCCCACCGCCGCAGGCGCCTTGTCGCCCTGGTCCGCGGCCGCCGCCCAGGCGGCGCGGCAACCAGCCCTCGACGGTACGGCCCCGCTCCACGTCCACCATGACGCGTCGGCCTCGGGTCAGGTGGGGTCGTTTCATGGCCGAGTCAATGCCGGCCGACAGGTGGTTTTCCTTGGCGTTTTGCAGGTTGAAGAAGAAACAAAGGTGTTTGAGAAGTTGTGTTTTGTTTTCCAATTTCTAAGTTCTACCCACCACCCAAAGTGTTGTTATTAATTACAGTAGATGAAACATAGGTGGTCACGGGGCCTATAAACCATCCTTCGGGTGGTGCTGGTCCATACAGGATATTCCGAAATGATAATCCCTTATTACTAAGGAGTCCTTGGACGCCGCTATAAGAACATGGGTGAAAGGATGTTTTCAGAAATGCGGGCACACACAGTCACAGATCATGCAACAAATTGTTCCTCGTGTCCAGTAAAAACACTTGCCTAGGCTGCCTAAGGTATTCAATCCTTTGGTTTCC